TTCCAACAACCAAAAAAAGGCTAAGAATCCCTTAATAAATGATTCTATTGAGTCTCTCATGACTTTTGTAAGGAGCTTACTCTAGTCTGTCACCCGCACAAGAGTTTAATATGATTTCTTATTATGCCTGAGTGGAAAAAGTCATATTTTAAATGGCAGAGCTCGGAAGTCAGTCTGAGTCAGTATTACCATTTCACAGCTGCGTGATGGAAAGGCAGGTTCAGCTGGCAGAATATGATAAATCAAACACACATACTGGACACATTGGTTTCACAGGAAAAGTGATGTTAAGTGGCATAGATGCAAGGGTGGCATCAAAGACCCTCCAATAATTTTAGGCTAGAAAGACTAAAAGGTCATTTGCTACATCAGTAGCTGTGCTTTGTCATGAAAAGGCCTTTGGCAGGGCAGAGCAATATTCTACTTCAGCACATTAGGCTTCGGGTCAAGTCCTGATTTATGTTCTACTCTACATGGAGCCCTCAGCATGGTCAGAGAATATTTATGCATTATTTAGAATGATCTGCTCAAGTCAATAGACGACCATATCGTAGTTCACTTCATGGTTCATGTGAAGATGAAAAACCCTCATGTGTTTGTTTAATGTAAGACCACACCCATAACCCTAGCATTAGTAAATAAAAACAGCCCTGTGAGGCTCTCTTAATTAACTGGTTTCTTTTAAATGTATAAACTAAAACTTCCTTTTTACAAGATATATGATGATTGTTTCTCGACTAAATTTCCTCAACTCTCAGCAAAGAACATGATGGGAGTATAATTTCCTCCTGACTCAGTAAGTGATGTGTAGACCAGCCAAAAGCACAGAAAACTAAGTCGGGATATAATTTACACTCACCCAGCAATTCATTAGGTTCACCTGTTCAGCTGTTTGTTAAGACAGAAATCTAACTGTACACATGTCAAGTCGACCAGCTACAGTTCAGACAGCATTAGAATAAAGGTTAGTGCCAGACAGGCAGGTCTAAACTGCTGATCTAATGGGATTTTCCTGCACAGGCGTCTCTAAGGTTTACAAAGAGTGGTCTGAGAAAGAGAAATTAGCGGTGAGCAGCAGAGCTTTTGGGGAAAGTGCCTTGTTGATGTCAAAGGAAAATAGCTTTAACTGCTCTGAGCTGTCAGAAAGGCAACAGTAACAAATACTGACGTGTTATAACCAAGGTGTGCAGAAGAGCATCTCTGATGCACAACAAATTGAAACTTTAAGTAAGTGGGCCACAGCAGAACACCACACTAGGTGCTACTCCGGTCAGCTAATAACAGGGAAGTGAGGCTACAATTCATATAGGACCACCAAAACCAGAAAATTCTTAATGTTTAGCTTGTATAGAAAGAGACAATGTACTGATCCTTGTTGTGTTTAACAGGTGACGTGCTTGGGAACAAAATTGAGATCAAATGAGTCCTGTCCTGCAAGTGATATCTGAACCAAGTAGGATCACAAAAGTCTCCATTTATAAATATATAAATATATATTGTAGGAAAATGACCCTACAGTATTACAGAGAAAACATCAAACAACCTTGATGGGGAGGAAGAAAGGAAAGACTTAGGAGGATGAAATCATCTGCCCTGACCTGCTGGTGAAAAGAGCAGACAGAGAAGTCGTGGCACATAGTTGCCCCTCCCCTAAACCTGGTTCTGCCGCAGGTTTCTTCCTGTTAAAAGGGAGTTTTTTCTTCTCACGGTTGCCAAGTCTTTGCTCAAAGGGGGTCATGTGATTGTTGGGGTTTTCTCTGTATAATTGTAGACTCTTTATTTTGCAATATAGAGTTGAGTTCAGCCTAGGGTCTAGTAGGCACTAGTATTTCAACAGGTCCAGTCTCAACCCTTTTTTCAAAAATATCCAAGACCAGGATATAACCGAATGCATCAAAAGAAGCAGTTCTTTCTAATAATAGCTGAATAGCAATTTTGCCTGGACAGCGTTCATTCGAATGTCATTGAATGAACAGTGACTACCTCCTCCTCCACTCACAGTGGAGGAGGTGTTGAATACGTATGCCAGTGATACTTTTTATAATAACTTTTCTATAAACTGAAGTATCTCTTGAGTGTTTTGCTCTAGTTTTTCTGTTAAACCCGATGACTAACTTGAGTCATAAATGTGTCATCTGCTGTATTGCTAATGCATGCAAATTGTATACTCAATGATTTAGTGAAGTTTTATCTATCCTGCATCACTTGGTTATATTAGCCTTGGTAAATGTTGCTACTTGTTTTTGCTGTTTTTTAAGTAATACTTTCATTAAGTATGTATCCATCTACTTTGAAACCCTGCCATGAACACAGATTAGTATGCAGCAGGCTTTTCTGATTTCACAATTTGCCAGCCGCTGAAGGAAAGAGCAAGGAGCAGTGAAGCTGGAAAACTATATTACAGCTTCCTTTGGGATGTGACATGTTTTATCTCAAAAACAGGAGCTGTAGGCATAAAGGCCATCAGTCCTTTTCTCAGTAACGCATGGATGGCTTATAGTTTCGTACACAGAACAGATGAACTATCTCTACTTGACTTAAACTATGGGACTCGTAGAGAACTATATTTTGGGAGAGTTTAGGAACACGCCGTTTTGTTTTTTTTTGTTTTTTAAATCTAGAAGATATTCGTAAAAACCTGAAAAGACCTTAATAAAAATGCAACCTGCTCTTAGTGCACTGTTAATATATGAAAATGTATTCACCCACGACTTTTATATCCAGAGTTAAGTAATGTTTTTCTCTTTCTGTGTATACATAACTGCTAGACCAAATATTTAATGACCCGGCATCTTGTTTAAAGAGGGATAGGTGTAAAGGTTGCAATAACAATAACCTGGTGTAAGGGGAAATTATTCTGCAACAGCCCGGTCCCACAGCGAAGCCACCACTGTAGCCTGGAGGGGCTGAATATATCATCCCAGCCTGTCTTTGTCATCAAGGCAAAGACAGGCTGAGATGCATGTCTGTTGTTTGTTAGGTTAAAATATTGCTGTTGAGCTAAGAGGCTGGCTGAACTCAGCCTGAACTTAAGCTCAGTGAATAAAATCATTTGCATACAAGTGTTCGATTGGACAAACAGCAATCTTAAAAATGGGATTGAAGCATCCATAACAGACCGACTGCAATTTATGAATGACAGCTCATGGTCACTGTCAGCAGTGCCAAGGCAGGAACCTGCTGCTGTACATCCAGTAGTGACATGTGATGGATGATCTGATGTTTGGCAGTAATATTTCCGTTCATCGTAACAGGAGTCTGAACGGTGTACCTTTTTAAATTTGAGTGCAAATAGCACATGCATCAGTTAACGCTTGTTCTCGTTTTGGTCTGCATGAACAGAGCAGGCATAACGGGTTTGAAATTGAACTGTTTTTATACCTCCCGTTGGTGACAGCTGTAGCTGGAGGCATTAATTTTGTCCATAATGCTTTGTGTCTTTCCCGTTTTTGAAGACTGTGTAGCTCTTTGAACGTCGTCAGAGATTTCTTCAAGTTAGTTAGGGATGTTCCCTTGGACTCAGAGATGAGCTAAGTTTGGGTGTGAAAGGCCAAGGTCAGCGTGACCCCACGATACCTTTTTATTTATTCAGATCTTATTGAATTAGACAAAAACATCAACACAGAACAAGGCAGAACAATACACTGACATAAAGTGAGGTATATAAGTCAATTTGTGCAATAAGTTGTTGGGTAATATTGATTTGGCGAACATCCAGTACACACAAGTTATGTTTTCACTTTGGATTTGAAGTCACAGAAACATTAAGCCAACATCTTCTCACAGTCAGCAGTGTTCATTATCTGTTCAGTCCACAGTTTTAGCATCAGGGTTTGAGATCATTTCCAAATCACAAGAATCAGTCTGGCATGAGCCTCTGGACAAACCACACTTCAACCATTGGCCCATATATTCCAAAACATTTCTCCAATCAGGAAAAACTTTGGAACACTCCCATGATGCATCTACCTAAGTGCCTCTTTCTGCCTTACATTATCAGCATAAAACATAGTTAATTAAATCCATTTTGTGTATTCAGTTCAATTCAGTTTTATTTATACAGCACCAAATCACAACAACAGTCACCTCAAAGGGCTTTAAACTATATACAAAAATACATACAGATAAAAACCCAACAATCATATGACCCCCTATGAGCAAGCACTTTGGCAACAGTGGGAAGGAAAAACTCCCTTTTAACAGGAAGAAACCTCCGGCAGAACCAGGCTCAGGGAGGGGGGGGGCCATCTGCTGTGATTGGTTGGGGTGAGAGAAGGAAGACAGGATAAAGACATGCTGTGGAAGAGAGACAGAGGTTAATAACAAGTATGATTCAATGCAGAGAGGTCTATTAACACATGTTGAGTGAGAAAGGTGACTGAAAAGGAAATACTCAATGCATCATGGGTAATCTCAAAGGAGTATAGTAATACTGATTAATTATTACGACAGACATTTTTAGGCATAACTCATGCCTAGCTCATGAATTCTCAGGAACGCCTTGGGAATATTTGTTAAAATTCGGCACAAACATCTAATTGGACTTTAAGATCTGATGGTCATGGTCACGGTCATTGTAACCTCACAGCCCCGATTTAAGAATCTGTATGCTAATTTTGACAGAATTTCCTACAAATTATGGAATAAATGAATGAGGTAAAGTCTTTTGTTTTTGTTTTTTAAAGAAAGCGCCAATTCAAAGCTTTCATTGTTATGAACTGCTACATGACTGCTAGAAGCACGAGGCAGTAATCCTAGTATTGTGAAGTGCATGAGTCATATAATGAGTGTCACGAGCTGAGGTTTTCAGTATTGTGCTATATTAGTGTGAATCACCCAAGCAATAGTTTCATCCATCTAATTGTCCCACTGAGAATTGTGATGCCATCACTCTGGGGTGGGCGAGGTGAAAGTAGGTTGAGTATGTAGTCGGGCCTGTGTGGATGGAATAGCTCTTTCCTCTGTATTTAAAATTATCCTTTTTTATTCTCTTTTCACAGTCTCCTCTGAGGAGCAGTGAGGTTGACTGGTCGCTGTCAGAGCTGGATGTTTTGCTGCTGGCCGGCACCGTCGGTCACACTCTCAGCCTGGCGGCCAGCAGTTTCGTAGAGGAAGAGCACCAAACCTGGTACTTTCTGCTCAACACGCTCTGCCTCACCGTGTTCCAGGATGTCTGCCGCAAGTACTTCAGAGAGAAGAGGGGCTCTGGAGATGACGAAGAGCATATCCTCCCTTCCAAAGACCGTCATCCCTCCGCTCACCCCAAAGCAGAGATTTTCTCAGAGAAGTGGTTAGCGTTAGCCACGCCACCATTCACTCTGCTCTGCTGCCGGCTACTGCGCTCCCTCAACCAAACTGGGGTGCAGTGGGCTCATATCCCTGACGTTGGGCATTGGCTCAACAGGTGGGTTTATTGATCTAATATTAACTTTGATAAATGCTTCAGTTTTAAGTAGTTTAAATATTTGAGTCACTGTATTTTATTCATATCAAGAAAATGCAGGCAGTATTTGGAAAACAGTATAAATTAATTGGTTTCACTGATGATTCATCACCTAATGCCATGTAGTAGTGAATTTACACTCACTGCCAAATTTGAACCCAACCATCTGAATGCTGCATCAGAAATCTAGACTCATCAGTCTTCAATTGTCTAATTTTGGAGTTTCCTGTTGCTAGCTGACAGCAATTACAGTTACTGCTTTTGCGTTCAGAGATGCTCTTCTGCATACCTTGGTTGTAACAACTGGGTGTTTGAGTTACTGTTGCCTTCCTATCAGCGTGGAGCAGTCTGACCATTCTTCTCTGGCTATCACTTAAATGCCTAAATTGCATAAATCCACAAGTTGCTACCATGTGACAGTCTGCTGGTAAGATATTTCCATTCCTGAGCAGTTGAACAGGTGTGTTTTATTAAGTGGTCAGTGATTGTTTCCCAATTCCAGTGTGTCACTTTACCTGAATAAAAACCCAAAGGCACTTATATTTCCTCTTAGCAAGTGGTCAGTTGCTAGTAGATTAGCCAGCTACCTCCTTGATAGCAAGACAAGTGTTTTTATGTGCTAAATGCTAAACTATGTTTATTAAGTAGTCGCTAACTTTGTGTAACTATTGGTTGGACAGATAGTGATCATTGTATTGTTAGTAATTACAGCTGTGAAAATCAACCAATGTTAGAAAGGACAATAAAACTGTAAATAGTTGAGGAGAAATGTGGAGGATTATAGTTCTATTACTACAGTGATGCTTTTCTTGCACAGTCATATTTTTCATTGTTACGGAAACATTGATTCTAATTCTAATGCATGAAAGCTAGTAATACTACCTAACTAACCATCACTGTTGGTTTGTGCACATTTATTGTTTAACTAGGCAGCAAAGCAAAGAGAGAGTGGCAACAGCAACAGCTTCTTGGTTGATTCAAGATTAGCTTGGCAGCATTTTTATTCCTAAGTCGCTCCTCAAGGGAAAATCAGACGACTCCATGAATAGCAAAAGGATAGAGGGTTCTGTCTCTGATGTGTTTGTGTTAAGCTGTACAAAAGGGCTGGGTACAAAAAGCGATTTCGCCGAAGTTCAGAAGTTTATCTGAAATCTGTTACATGCATGCATAAATCCCTTCAAGTGTATTTGCTCTCTTTTACTCAAAGCTAAATTTACAGTGGTAAACTGATTGCTGATATGGCTCTACAGCAAAATCTTCACTATGTTGTTTTTTCTGACAACCAGTGTTGTATTGTTGGTGTTGTAATGAACGGTGGGGTGATAGCAAAGCTGAGGACCATTAGTTCTGTGTCATGCTGTATGGTATATTTCTCTTTTTACGTGGATATGTGGCAGCATGAAGGTGACAGGACATAACAGGAACTTATTTCCAACACAACTACAATTTGGAAAAAAAAACCTACACTTGATGTTTTACGACAAATCAAACAGAATTGTAAAAGAACAGGCGTCTTTCACTGTTTAAGGATAGAAGTTCAACCGTCACATGGGGATACATTCGTTGCAGAAAGGCAATCTGTCTGCAGACAGTATACTCAGTAGGCTAAAATGCAGTGCAGCAACAAGATTTTCAATCTCAATGTGTTTCTCCACCTACACACAAATGTAACAGATCAATGTAGCAAATTCATTGATGTTCTTTGGGGAAAGCCGTGATATAGGATATTACTTACTGTAGTAGATGTAATGAAAGTGGTTCAGTGAACAATACATTTAGATTTCAATGCTAGATATAGACATCTAATGGAAGCTGTGTGGTGTTAACACACAGAGCAAGTCTTTTCTTCTGACACTAAAACATTTTAAATGTGTTTTTCTAGCTGAGAAGCTGATAGGACTACCCACTTACATTTTCTTTTTTTTAAAGATTCAAGAAGAGAAAATCGTCTTCAGATTGCCCAGACTGAAGGAAAACTGTGATTTCTCTGTAAAAACTGTGGCTTTTTCAGAGCCATTAATATTCTGACAGCAGTGCGAGGCAGGGGGATTATAGTTTGTTCTTTAACATTCATCACAATGTGGAACAGAGATGTGGATTCTGACCTTTTCCCTGTCCAGTGTTGCCCTTTCTTCCTACCTGCAGTGCCTGTTGCTTGGATAATGAGATCCAGGTAGCGTTATGCCTCATCTTGTCTCAAAGTATTCAACGTCCACTGCCAGTCTGATCCAGCTAATGGCTAAATACACGGCTTCAACTTTGATATGTCCTATTTCCTATCGGTGCTCAGTATGGTGCAATTACAGACTTTAATCCAGTGAACAATTGAGGGGCTGTGCCTCTTTTAAATTTAACCTGAATCTAGAGGATTTGACTGACAGTATTTCATCTCATCAAAGTAAATGCTCACCTTCAGCCTTCAAATGAGAACCTGTAATGCTTTCTCTTCATGTGTTATTATATATACAGTTACACTGTTGAACCGTCATATTAAAGACGGTCAGTTCACAGTAATGAGGTGAGTGTATGTCCAAGTAATCCCTGAGAGCCAGGAGCTAAAGCGTCAAACTGCTTTAATCAGCTGGTCTATCAATATTTTTTTCTTTTCTTGGATTTGTCGAGTCAACTCAGGCACACGTCTCTGGCTGTGAAGACAGAAGCCCCACCCACCTGTGGGTGGAGCCAGGTGCGAGGGGCAGCCCAGTCAGAAGACATCTGGTTTTTCAAGAGTGTGGCCTTAAAAGGAAAGGAGAAAATAGCCTTTTTTAGACAGTAAAACTGATAGGAATTCACACTTCAGAATACTAAGGATTATCCTGAAGTGTGTAACGCAAAGCCACTCTAGCTCTCTTACCGTAACAGCCTGTTTAGTTGTCTAAACAAGAAAGGGCTAGCTTGTCTACAGGTTGTTCAAAACTCTGCAGCGAGGCTACTGACCCACTCGAACAAGGGAGCTCATATGACCCCTGTTTTGAAGTTGCTACACTGGCTCCCATTCAGACTTAGGTTCCATTTTAAAACTCTAGTTTTAACCTTTAGAGCATTAAAGGCCAGGCCCCTCCCTATACTGCTGATTTGATTTGTACACATACCTGGTAACCTGAGGTCTTTGAATTAAAACCTTTCAGTGTTACCCCACACTCGTTTTAGAACTCGAGGGGACCGATCTTTCCAAGCTGTTGCCCCCAGACTGTGGAATGCACTTCTACTATTTCTACAGCGTCTGGACTCAGTGGAGACCTTCAAAGAGCAGCTAAAGATATTTTTTATTTCAAAAAGCTTTTAATTAGACGGGTGTTTTATGATGTATTTATGACTGTATTATGTCTTCTTACCTTCTTGTAAAGCACTTTGTGACACATGTCTGAGAAAGGTACTATATGAATAAACTTTACTTACTTACTACTTACTAGCAGAGTCCAAAAATAACAACAATGAGCTGGAACTGAGCTGAATATATGTGTGTGTATATATATATATGTATGTGTATATGTAGAAAGAGAGAGATCTTGATATAGATATCTATAAACTGACCATAGATGTGGTTTGCCTTAAGCCACTACTTGGCCAACTGTAATACTTTGAGCATTTACCTTAAAAATATATAAACTTCATTGTGAAAATTCCAAATCCCTTCCTCATCATTTGAGTGCTTGGCACGTTTCTCAGCCAGTGACTGTTCTCTTCCATTTTCTCTCTAGCTCTGAGCACAAGGTGGTCCTCTCCCTGCTGTCCGCTTTCTGTTTGGTTCTCATCTACTTCCTGGTTCAAAGACGGTGCTCGTGGGTCTCGAAGGTCGCCCTCGCCCTCGGGCTTTTGGGTGTGTACAGCTATCGGGCAGCTGTCGGCAACGTCCTGTTTCCCTGGCATCATTCTGGTCGAACTATGTCCAAGTAAGTAAGTCTTTGTGAACCACGAAACAGTGAGTTCATTCACCATAACAGCTGGCAAATTGCTGTCCCCTGGTATTGACTTGATTTAAAGTTCATGAGTGCCAGGCTGTGCTGTGATGCAGATGAGCGTGAAGACTCTAGTGCTGCTCGTGTCATCTGGGACAATCCCTTACTCTGATGATGAACTGCAGTACAGTTTTTTCGCTTTACATCTACCTACAGTAAATCTCCCTGATCCAGTGTAACGTCATGTCCTCACGGTTTTGACAGTGTCTTGAATTAAATTAATTACACTAAAAGAGGCATCAAGCAATCTATAAATGTTGATTTAAATTGGCAGCCAGTGGGAACTGCAGAAGTATCGACAGGTCTTTTCTCCTTCAACACATCTCTGGTACGGCCGCATCAACACTCTCCCCTCATGTCATCTGTAACTTATGAAACTAAAGTATGACATTCACAACACAGCTACTTAATTAGAGTGGTGAGTACAGAAGAAATAGACTAACATGCAGAATATTGGAATCATTTTTGTAAGTAAATTTGCTTTTCATTTGGCTTGAAAATGAGCTTTTTAGCTGCAATGACTGAAATACAAATCGATGTGTTTGTCTCTATTCCTGAGCGGCAAAGAGCTGTGCAGGCCACAAAGTGAGGTTCATATTTGTAGTTTTGAGTATAATTTCTAAACAACTATTGGATGGATTGCTTTCATGTTGGATACACATTATTAATATTTACCACTTGTAATGACTTTGGATAGATAGCTTGATTTAAGACCAAAACCAATGGCAGCCCAGCAGCCTCATTTGTCTTTGTATCTCTGTTAAGTGCTAGTTAGCATAATTTTAAATGGATAACCTCGCTGCATAGCCACAAGAGTGGAGCTGCTGTGAAAATGGATGTAAAAGCAAAATGATTTGTAAATCACTCAAACCATTGAAGCGGTTGACTTGAAGAAGGGGACCAGGTTGCCGCTAGAGGCCTTGAGCAAGAACAAGTGTCAGCGGGGCTTCAGAATTTAAGGTTGTCAGTTGCTTTGTGTAGCCTTCAGATAGTTCCAGTACATGTTTAGTGGATAACATGCAGACTTGTTTTTTACCTTTTTAAATTTTAAAATTCCATCTCAAAGTTTTGTCCGACTACATCCCTTTAGTGCAGCTAATGTTTCTAACTGTGTGTTTATAAAAGTATATGGACTGTTGCTGGTCCATTGGAGTGAACAGAGATGACGTGGCTGTCTCTGGTCTCCACTTGCAGCCAATTCTCATCACCAAAGTAACTTCAGAATGTCAAGACAAACATAAGATAGCAATAAAATGAGTCAGTCTGTTATCAGTTGCCTAGGGTAAATTTGGCAACTTGTGCAATGTGTTTGTGATAATACGATGGCAAACTGTGATAAATCAACAGAAACTGCAAATCTGTTGCCGTCTGCATACACAGAAATTCAAGTTACTGATTTAACCTCCTAGGACCTGGCGTCCACATATGTGGACATCACATTTTGGGTTGTCTAGACCAAAATACTAAATTTTGCTCTACGAGGGCCAATATCCACTTACGAGGACATTATTCTGTTACTGTGCTATCGAAATTTAAAGCGAATGTCCTCATGTGTGGATCTCATTTTTCTCAGAAACAAAAATCAGGTAAAAAAAAAAAAATCACATATTTTTTTGTTTTTGCATTCATCAGGTCCCAATCAGCCAAAATAGCCAAGAGAAATTAAAAATGCATGCCATGAAAGCGTTTGGGTCTTAGGAGGTTAAAATTTAAATTCCAGTCTGATTCACACAGAGTTGAAACAGACTTTCCTCCACAAACAGTGACGTAGTTGCTCAAGATGACAAGTTAACATTAAAATCACACGGGGCGTGGGGCACAGTAGCCATGCTTTCATATAATATAAACACAATACAATCCTGTTGCCAACCAGTTGAATAGATTCCCCCTTTGCAAATATACGTGTCACAGACTCAGAGTGATTACAATGTGTTTGCAAACTGTCTGCATTTTTAAATTAGACTGCATTTATTTACAAACCTTCACCAGTTGGTCTGAGAGTGATTGCAGCCAGGCCAAGTCACACTGTGATTGTTTGAAGACAGGCTGCTTACCACCAGGCAAGCTGTGCAGTCGCCTTTCAGTGCAAAGCAATCACCCAGAGGCTGAGGCTGTTGCACGCTCAGTCGCTGAAAGAGGAAAAATTCCACTGAATCCTTTGGAGAGGAGGTCGCTGTCGTACTTTTACTCCATTGTGACTGAGGATATAGTGCACATGGCAGACCATAACATCTGTGAAGGCACCATTAATGCTGGAGCCGGCTTTACATACAGGTTTTGGAGCCACATATGCTGTCATTCCAATATGTTTTACAGGCAGGGTATTAATTGTTTCAGTGAGACTGTGTCCCAATCCACATCGTGCCGTGGCATGGCTACGCATTTTTAAAAAGTGCAGATGTGAGGCAGCACAATGGTAATCCTCCACCATCTCACATTTTCAAAACGTGTTGCTAGCTTCCTGTTTAAGATGAAGATACATTTTTTGCAAAACAAAAAATGTCTCAGTTATGACATTTGTTATGTTGAATTAAAAAACAGAAAAATAAAATCATGTTGATGCAAAGTGTAAGTAACTGCAGATCCAGAGATAGTTAAACCTGTGTTATGATCAGATGCCAGCAGGTGTGACTATAATTGTTACTTCATGACCATATTTTAAAGAAATCAAGTTTGCTGCCTCTTTCTAGTAGTAAAGAAAGCCTGAAAGCGTGGAGAGCATTGTTTTCCTTGTCTTGGGGTCATGTTTGTTGACAAGTCAGCCAGCCATGGCTAACTGATTTGTGTATTGAGATTGGATCAAATTGCGTGCGCAATTGTGATGACAACAGTAAGACTGGAGGCATTTTAACTGGCTCAACAGCGACAGGTTTTCCAAGGATGATGCTTTTTTTCCGGCCTGTTGATTTTCTTATCTCAGATTTTTTTTTTTTTTTTTTTTTTTAATGGTCCTCAGTCGTCCCTGCTGTCATTTAAAAAAAATCTTGAGAAGAGTTTTCATTTCTTAAGCCTGAAAATGCATTCAAGCCCTTCCAGTATACATCTGAGGGTAAGACTCTTCCCTGCTAAGACCCTCAAGTCTTAATCAAGCAACCTAGATGCATAATAATGTTTCTCATTTTAAAGAGCTGATGATAAAACTGTTCATCTGGTGCCAGCTGCTCAGCATCCAGTGCATTTAGGAAGTTATGTGTGTCCTTGAACTCAACCTGAATAAAAAAAAATCATGTTCATGGTTTGGCTCTGAAATGCATTAGTGTTCTTGGAGACTGGAGCCCCTTTACACCGTGTATATATCTTATCCTTTAGCACAGTCTGTCTGTAATAGTTGTTGTTAGCATTGTCTGAAAAGAGAGGATTTTTCCACCTCCTAAGTGGTGTAATTTTTCATCCTGTAGCCAGTAGCTTGGCACAGAGTTACCTGCTACTAACCCCTGTCAGAAAATGATGAGTGTTCAGGACTGCACACGGTTCTCCTGTCTAGTTTTCCTGACCTCCCTTCATCTACCACCAGTACCTGGCCTTCCCTAACCTTTTCTGTTCTCCTTGGCAGGCTCGCCTACCTGCTTGCCTAATTAAAATCTCAACCTCTCACCCTTAGCCAAACAAAGATACCTTACTAAAGCCATGCAGTGACTTGCGCTCCTTTTGACCGACTGTATAATTGACATGGCCGATGTTCGACCCAGTGCTTCAGTGTTTCTTTTCACACGCAGTGATCATGATTGTGCATCACCTCAAGTTTTTCTTTAGCTTTAGCTCTTCTTATAGACTAACTTAAGTGCTGTTATTTTTGACGACAGCAGGTCGTGTAGCTCAGGTTCTGTGTTTTCATTGCTTGCTAAGGAGATTCTATTTTTGGCCAATTAAAATAGAACTTTGATTTTATCGTCTTAAAGCTTCCAACATTTGAGACAAATAATTTCCCATGGGCCTATATTTTGTTGTTTTGGCCATTTTTAAACAGCCATCTAGTTGAAGCTATGGCAATTTTAGATAGATCTCTTTTTGAGATAAAAAATACACACACCCCCACCCCCCCACCCATGCTGTAATGTGGATCTAAAAAGAAGCAGCTTTGTATAATGACCCTGTTTAAAGTCTGGTCTTCTTGGGTTACTCTTTCTGTGTGTTTTATCAGAGTAAAGCCCCCTGACAACTCCCCGGCTCCCTCCTCACCTCCCTTCGTGCCAACTGCCTAATTGCGCTGCTGCATCTTTCAAAATGGCTAATGGGGTTGAGAACAGCCAACGCTGCTCACTTTAAAGGGCTCAAAGACTCGCTTGGATTGATGTCACTGTGGATACAGTTTGTCTTTTTTCCCTCTCAGTTTTCCTCTCCCCCGCGCACGCCCCTCCTTATGGCATCATCTCAAATGAACCTAAAAATAGAAAGCTAACAAAGTCAGGCGACAGGGCACGTATATACTCTGAATTATTTGTATTTATTTAGATATTGAGAGGTGGCTGATTACCGCTGCAGCACTGACACATAACTGTAGACAGGAAGATGCAATTAAGGTAACAAAAGCGGAAGCAAATGAAATTTTTCTGAGCGAACGTTCCAGCAGGAAGTAGCTGAACATCAAAGCAGCCGGCTGAGGTCCAAACCTGTCTGAGGCTGTATGCATCATAGCCAAAGTTTGTTTCAGTCCCCCCCCTCCACATTTATGGCACTTTTTTTTTTTTATACTGAACACAAAGCCACTAGAAGCATTTACAATGTTTATGCTTCTGTTTGTGTGTGCGTGTGAGCGCGCGTGCTTCACACCTGCACAAAACATGACCCATTTTATCGTGTATGCTTGATCTCGAAAGGGGGCTGTTGCGCAGTTTCCCAATTTAAAAATATTCATGCATACCGATCCCGCTTAAAAATGGAAATGTATTCAAACTCGTCTCAAAACACCTGTGAACCTCTGCCACACACACGTG